TTTCCTTTAAGCAATGAATAATCACATGTTCTCTGCACAATTACTGTACTTCCTGAGAACAGCATTAATTTTCAGAGAATTTGAAAAGTAAATCTGTTAATAAGCTTAGGAATTAATATTAATTAAACACAAGTTCTTTCAGAAATCTAGCAAAATCTACAAGACATGTATTTTCCTTTTGATTCCTTTCAATTTTGTTAGATCATTAGCTGTTCAAACTGCCCACAGCAGACTGCGGGCTTGCTTTTGCTCTATGTTCACATACTGTGCTTTAAGAACAATTTTTAATTTTTATTATTTTCTTATTTTTTCTAAAAAAAAAAAAAAATATTTTTTCTTTGGCAGATGCCAAAAACCAGAATAATTTCCTACTAAGAACGGTAGGAAGAGTAGCCTTCTCTGCAACACACTTCCATATTTCCCAGTCTCGGTGGGCTGAAAACCACTCCTCAACCTCTCAGTTAATGGCTGTTCTGAGAAGGATGCCTCTTTCACAGAATCACAGAATGGTCGGGGTTGGAAGGGACCTCTGTGGGTCACCCAGTCCAACCCCCTGCCGAAGCAGGGTCACCCAGAGCAGGCTGCACAGGACCGTGTCCAGGCGGGGCTGGAATATCTCCAGAGAAGGAGACTAAGGAGAAGGAGACTTTCGTTCGCCTCCCTACCCCAGGTATGTGTTTGCATGTCTTGTATGCCTTAGAGTTACGTTACAGTTGCAGCTATTACAATTTAATGGTAAGAGAGAGGCAAAATTTGTCAGCAGAAGTGACAATTTTTATTAGATTGACACATCTGGAAAAATACAGACATGCTCTCCTGTTCAGTCACTCATCAGGTCAAGCTAAGGGTGTTTTTTGGGTTAATTACACTACTGCCCAAAACCTACCTAAGAGACAGTGCAGCAAAGGCTACCTACTAATCCCTCTATCTAAAGAGCAACTTTGGCATTTTGAAAACCTTCTAGTACATTACAAACAGGTGGTGCATTACAATTTCTGCTCAGCACTCACTGATACCTTTTAAATTTAACTGCAAAATCACCATCCAAATTCTGAAGGAGACATGTATTTTAAAACTCCCTTTGAATTCACCCAAACCACTGGGAATTAAATCTATGTATGTGTCAAAACAACTGCTGCAGAGTAACCCAGACCTGCAATCTGCACCGTGTTACACACAGATACAGCCAAACCAGCTTTCCAGTTGCAGTCGCCAGCCCAGGACAGCATCCGTGTCCGTCCCGCTTCCCTCCTGGAGCTGCAGCGGAGCAGCAGTTAAGAGCCAGCTGGAGTTCTGCTCTTTGGCATTTTAAATGAATGTGAAGTGCAATGCTAGAACAGAGAGTTACAGCAGAGTCTCCCAAGGGCCCAGACTGTCAAAGGATGAAAATGGATTGGCTGATCTATGGATTTACTAACTTCTCCTCTGAGTCTTCAGCAGCAACTAGGAACAGTGGTTTAACACTTCAGATCTGTAACTGTCACTTAGACACAAGTGACATTTCCCCCTTTCTTACGTGGTCATTTCTCTGTGACTGTGTCCCTCTTGTGTCCCAGTGAGAGCCTCAGACGGGAGCAGAAACACTGCTAGAGTCTGAAGAGATCAAGTGCTGAATGTAAATCAGTCGTCCGGTTAAGCAGAAGATGGGCTTTACACAACAGCTACGCACAGCTACGTCACCCTCCTGCCTTCACACTGGCCTGGGAAGCATCAGCCCATAGAGATGGAAAAGCCAGTCTGTGCTCTGCCAGGAAGATGCCAGCGCAGCACCTTTTGTGGCAGACATCTTCAGGAAGAGAACAGACCAAGGCCAGCAAAACTCCTTTGCACAGGGCTCCCAACAACTGTTAAGTAGCGTGAGGTCAGTAGCACGAAACAAGTGTTAACAGCCCGTGTGATTTACTTCCACCTTCTTTCCTAACACCCCAGGTGTTAAGCCACCATCAACTCACTGTACCTTCCTGTGCTTTAGTTTCTCCTTCTATTAAGCAGATATTGACCTTTCTTTATCATGCACTCTGAGACACGTGACTGAAAAGCAGTACATAAGAACTGCCTGTTATTATAGCTACTAATAATAATCCTCGAGCTGTGTAAGTCTCTCAGGTAACATAATTCTGTGTGACTAAGCAGATCTCTCAAATCCTTCCAAATCTCCACCTGAACTTTACACTCAAGATGGTGAAGGCAGGGCAGGGAAGAGGGGGGCGATGGAAAATCATTTCCTCTTCACTGACAACAGAACCTATTCTGAAAGGAAAAAATCTGTGAAATATTTGTACCTTGGCAGTAGGGATCTATTTGGTAACACAACTCCCCCATAACAGTTTTGTCTTTTTGTTCAAAATAATTCAACTTTCATTAAATGTTTAGTTCTGAGACCTTTAATTCATGTCCTTAACAGTTATCTTTGTAGTCAGAGGCAAACCATACTCATTAAATGAGATTCGTTTTCTTTCTCTGAACATTATTCTGAATTTGGATGTTGGGTCTCTCCTGAGTTTCAGAAAGATTTGAATAAAGGCTTCTTCCTCCTAGTGAGTGGAAACACTAAAAGATTTTATCCACATTTTCAGAATGTGTCAGTCCTCTCCCCTCACTCACTTTTCACAACTTTTTTTTGTTTTTTAAACAACAGAGAGAGCCATTGCTCCTTTGCTCAGAGATGGAAGCTATGCAAGGGGAACAGTCTTCAGAAGTGTACTTCCAAAGCCCAGCTCGGCTGCTGTCTTTTCTATGGCAGAAATGGGAACGCCGTGCTTGCCACAGGAGTCAGGAACTTTACAGTGCAGAATCTGCACAGAACAGAGAGACCTGCGTTACTGAACGGAAGGCAACTGGGAGACTGCTGTTCTGCAAGGCGGGCTTATGATCTGCAGCCGCCCCGCGACTGGCTCTGCCGTAGGACTGGGCTGCACGATAGCCCCGCAGCACCGCGTGAGAGCCAGGGGCATTTTTTTAGGAATTAACGCAGCGACAGAAGCAGCCCGTTTTGAATGGCAGAGCACTGGCTCCTCCTTCCAGCCACAGTTACAGTGGGCTTTGCCAGCTCACTGCCGTCCCAGCGTGAGACCTCAAGACTTCTGAAGTTAACAGATTGATTCTCACGGATTCAAAAACAAACCAGGCTTTTACTTACTGTAGCTTTTGTGTCCGGAGTCCACACACACTCAGTTGCTCACTAAGCACTACATCAAGAAAAACAACCTTCAAACCTTTGTTTCAAAGCTAAAATTAAATAGATCATTGCTACTTTTTTTTTGGTCAAAGAAAGAAATGACCTATGATCACTTAATGTACAATTAACACAGAAAGTAATTTCAGATCAGGATAGACTTAACTCAACCAGAAATATTTTAGGTATAAAGTACAGTATGTCAGAATGACACAGACATGAGGAAATATGGTCTTTTAGCTGGGCCAGAATTCTGTCATATTTCAAAGAATGTCGTCATCTTTGAATCTTTGTAGTAATTGGTCCCTATTCCCTGCTCAACAGTAACACTATTTAACAACTTGAATCCATAATGAAGTTCATCATCCCAGCAGAATTTTGAAAAGAGGTTTAATTTGCTGGAAGAGAAATGGAGACATTGGGGCCTGCCTAGGAGGGTGGCAAATCAGTGACTCAGCAATTGGCAGCTGAGGAGCAGCTTGGTTTTAATCTCTTAATCCCTAATATACGTGTACGCTGATGGGTAGTCTTTGTGACCCTGGTAATATTTATACCGTACAACATCTATGTTCATTTTTTGCATGCAGCACTTTATGATGAAAAAATGCACATTAGCTGTTTATAAACACATCAGAGTACAGTACAAGAAGCCCAGATCCAATTTTTGGAAACCTGGATTCAGATATAGATAGGCTTTTATGTCAAATGTATATGAAATACTGGACTACTATCAGACTGCAAATTCTAATATTTGCTTTCTTTATGCAAGCCACAATACCAAAAGTTTTTGCTTCGTTTACAAATTACAAACAGTGGGTACAAGAAAACCCACTGTTCCTTACGAACAATCCGGGTTCTTAATGGCTATTAATGGCTTTTGTTGAGAACTCGTGAGCATATGAACTAGAAACTTATGTAATTTGCGCACCTGATGTATTTTGCTAGCATTAGGAAAAAAGTTTGGTTTTCAGTTAGTGAAATCCATTCCAAACTGTGACAAAAGTCACAAAAGCTGAAATCCAGTATCCCAGGAGATTTTCAGATCTGTCTAGGTTTGGGTCTACAGATTTGGGTGTCTGCACAAAGTTCTGTTCTTGACTGATCACAAATCAGCAGAGTGCGCTTTCCAGTTTATGAAGAGTGCAGCCAGATTCTCCCCAGAACTAAGCAGGAACAGCCACTAGGCTTGGAAAAGCAAATCATTGCACGCAGACTTTTCTTTCTGCTTTTCATGATTTACAGCAGGATAACCCCAGGCTTCTTGTTCTCATTATCATCAGGTAATTTAACTGTGTTAATAAAGTGAAAAACCTCCATGCTCCCCAGTGTCCCAGGCATTTTTTTGTTTGTTTATTCTTCTTCATATGTGTCCTTAACAATTCTTTTGCAACCGAGAGAGGGACAGCCGTACATTTCCACTGGCATTTAGAGTTTTGATTCCCACATAAACACACACTGTGCATAAGCTGGTTTCCAACAGTAATGGCCATTGTACTATAGTCGTGCTATGAAGCTTAGGATTTCTGCATTTTATTAAAGAGATTTCTATAAAAAAGAAACTAAAATTACATGAAAACTACTTCAAATTCTGACACCTGAAATTACGCTCAAGTTCTACCTCCACAAGTCCCTCATTATTTCATGCACATCCATCACTTTCCCACAGTATCTAGGCCACAAACCCTCTATATAGGTTATATCAGGTAATCTAGATCTGAATATCGCCTCTCTGAACTCTGACAGAAAGGACTGAGGGAAAATAATGTAACTTTATAACTTGACACACACATAGAGTCAAGATCTATGGTCTCAAAAAGGCTCTTACCTTGAGAAACAAGGCTCCCTTGGAAGCCAAGGAGTCTGTTCCTCTTCCGTTGGGGTAACAGTGATAGGCAGCATCCATAACAGGATAGCGGCTGGCAAAAAGCAGACCACTGTTCACAAACTTGAAGCTACAGCAGCCATGGCAACTGTAGACCCCAACATCATAGACAATGTATTCAAAATAGTGATGGAGCTGCTCTTTCAATTTCTCTGCAGCTCTTTTGTCAAACACTTCCTGCAAACACAGAAAGTCCAGGTTGGCAGGGAAGAAAGCAGAGATCTCATGATCAAAGGTCTCATCCATATGTTTCTTTTTCCGCACTGAAGTCTTCTTCATGATCGAAGCTTTGTAGAGGAGCTTGTTGTTGACAGTGCTTTGGTCCACTGTACCATCTCCAACGTGAACTTTAACTAAGGACTCTCGTGAGGCAGAGTAGCTGTCTAAACTCCCAGAATCTCCTTCCTTCTGTTTGTGGTTAGGCGTTTTTGAGATCTCCGCATCACCTTCCAGCGAGGGCTCAGCTGGACCACTGGCATGAGCCTGGCCATTGACGGTATCTGTTTCTGTGTCTGACATGTGGCCATTTTCCTCTCCATTTATGCGGACAATGCAAGTGTTTTCTTCTCCCTCATTTGGCTCACCAGCTCCACCTTTATCTTCTCGACTGTCCTCACTGTTGTTTGAGCCAGAATTGTCTCCTTTATACTCCATGGATGTTGTCCTTTTGATGCCAGCATTAACAGTACGATTAGTGTTCTCTCCACCCTGGGGGGAGACCAAGCTGCTAAAACTTGCTGCACTGATGGATGTGTTGGTAGGAGAATCTATATATATTTTGATCTGCGGTCTGCTTGCCCCATTTCGGATCCTCCGGCCAATCTCTTTGGCCCTAGCCTGTGTGTTGAAAACATTATTAAACCTCGCCAGAGAATCCGGCAGCAGGCAAACATTGGCACTGCCAAAGCAGAAGCTTTTCCCACTGCCTGCAGCCTTCCACTCAGTGAGCAGCGTGGCTCCATTGGCACGGCTCTTGTCTTCTAGTCTGGAGTAGACATATGGCCTTCTGGCTGACTGCAGTGGGGACCACAGCAGGAAGCCAATCAGAGCAAAAGGCAGAGAGGCTACCAACAGCGCCAGGTAGATGGGAGTGGTAATGATGATGCAGAGCGCATGAAAGTAGCACGGATCATCTGCCCTCTGACGTTTCTCATAGGTTGTTGGAACAAAAGAGGCCACAAGCCTATCTGCTAACCAGTAACATGGGAAAATCAGGCCCCAGGAAAAAGAATGCAGAACTGACAGAAAGCTGTTGGGAAATGAGGAAGTGTATAAAACCATTGCAACTTAATTATGACAACACTTCAGGGCCTACTACATGATGTCACTGTGTCAAGCATCCATAAGAACACTGGGAGAGGGCTGGGGGAAAAATGGTCCAGTTAGGTTTTTTCCACCGTGAGTCAATAACAAAACTTTAAGAGCACCATTTCACTGTGTTGGAGTAAAAACGGAACAAGGCCACTGTTTTCGTCTGGCTTTTTGGCATCTGTGTTTGTCCAAGGATGTCATCGTTCACCGGAGGCTGCCATAACGAAACACTCCGGAGGCAACAAGGAAAGCTGTAAAAACAAAAGACAAAAAACATATGTAGCAGTTATTAAAAGTTTAGAGCAAATTTTCTCATACCAATTTTGCCTTGCAGTCTGAAGTATTTCCCTTCTTTTGGTTTAATTTAGCAGTTTTGATAGTCTGTTAAAGACTACGGATCTAGGGCAACTCCAGCAACAAGGGACGGGTATTTCTGCAGACGAAATCGGTACATTGACCATTCAATGCACAGGACAGATGTTATCACGAAACACATTTCTATTACAAATTTTAGGCCTTACATTGAGAAATATAGTTTGGAGTTTCTTTTATTTTAGAATCCATTCACACTAATATTTCTATTTATTTGTAGCAGCTGTGTTCAGAACCTTGCAAATGGTGTTTAGTGGTTATCTCCAGGCTGCTCTAAAAGACTATTACAGCTAATTTTTTATCACTGAAGCTAAATTTGCTTGAATTGCCAAAGTCCTTTAAAAAAAAAAAGTGATGTGATGGAGGTACAAATTATATTTAAGAGCAGAAAACATTTGTTTGCTATAAAATATTATTTGCTTTGCTGTGCTTTAAAGCAAAACGGGTTGATTTAAATCAGTTAAAATACTCTTCATATAGTTGAACATGGTTTCAAATTTTTTATTTTCAATTTATTAAAAATAGTAAGTCAAACTAATTTGCTTTAATATTTAGGTATTTAATACTCACTATTTATTTCAAGCTGCAGTTCAATTTCATTCAGCTACAGCCCACAAAAACTACTGACATGATTTCCTATCAAAGGTTTCCTACATATAGTGAATACTTAAGCAAAATACAAATGAATGATAATGAACATCATTCTTTTTAAATTCCAATTTTTGGCTTTGAAGGAAACAGTACTAATTGAATATATCAAATAAGAACAGGTTCACGTCTTTCCTCTGCAGACAGACAATGTCTTCCAAAAGTTGTCTTACCAGTTGGGAAATTGTGACCTGAGGTACTTGGCAAATGTCACAATTAACCAAAGACATCAAACTGTCAAGTTAAGGTTTTAACACAGGTTTTGATAATATCAAATGGAAATTATTCAAAAAAACATGCTCTCATATTAATCAAACTTTATCACTGTTGAGCATGGTATCACCAATGAATGCAACTCCACTCTCCCTAAACTGCAACTGTGACATTACCCCGTAAGAGGAGATGAAAATTGCATACATATACTTATTGGCATAAGTTCAGTTAAAATCTGGGGCTCTCAGGGAGACAAAATGAAGGAAATAGTAGTTTGATCTGTATTTTAAACATTCTGCAGGACACTCAGTGACAGAAGGGCATTTTTATTTCTGTTTAATAGCAAATAAAACAATGATATGGGGCACAGAAGAGACAAATACAGTTTTACAAAGCAATGCCGCCTTAGAACCAGAATGAAAATACAATTCTTCAATTTTCTCTCACCCTTTAGATTTCTGCTTCCAAGCCAAGCCCTCGCAACTGATTTATGTCCCTACCTTCAGCGTATTTTGAATTGTGGTACACATGCAATACCAGACTGCCGACAGAGTATACTGTACACGTGAGAAGTGGTAAGTAAAGCATTAAAATACATGGCTTAACCAGCTCTCTTTTTACCACACATATTTTTTTGTTTATTAATGACAAGAAAATTCTTCCCCCAGTCTAGATTCCTGATCAGCAGGACTAAGAGTAGCCATAGCTACCATGTCAGATTTGCTGCTATACATTTTTGGTAGGCACTGTCGCAAAGAAGAATTGTAATAAAGGAATAGATGAAGATGAGAGAGTTTTGCAGATTATTTCTTCCCAGAAGTGAAAGGCAACACTAGGGCAAGCAGGTAAATGTTAGTCTGAAAAACTCAGTAAGATGGTGTGAGGAGCTTGTACTAAAAACTGACTAGAGATGGGAATCAAATTCTAAAAAAGAATGAGAAAAATCAGGTTAAGTGGGGACAAGATTATGCAGACCTTCAAAAGCGAAACCAAGTAGTTGGTACCCAACTACTGTGGAGCGGGAAGCACCGGTAAGCACAGGCACTGGAAAGGATGGCAGTACCACAGCAGAAAGCTGCTTCTAACTCCTGTCTCCTGGGCGGGCAAGCTGTGCCTTAGAGATCTGAGGTAGAATCTTCAAGACAGCAAATGATCCTTAATAAACAGGCGTGCACTGGTATCAGGGAAAGACCACCAAAACGTGACTGAAGAAGGATGGCAGGGGAGCAGGACAGGTGAAAAAGGAGCTGGTTTGCTGCAGCAGCACACACCTAGTCGATCGAGTGTGTAAGAAGAACACCCCTGCAATTGCTCACAGCCCCCTCCACATTTCGTCAACAGGCAGTCAGTTCCCTTTAAAGGGATACAGGGTCCTGTGTATTTTCGCCCTGATGGTACTATTTAGATGGAAATTGGAAAGGTTGGGTCAAGGGAGTTGGGGTTTTTTTAAATTATTATTATTAGCTTAGCATAACTTTCACCGTCTTACACAACATGTTTAAGTTTAAATAAATGAGTGATTAGTCAAGCGCCAAATAACAAATGCTTGGCATTTACTCATTGCCAAAGGCATTTTGGGATGTTGATAATAGAGGAAAGGCTAGCAGATTTGTTTTCCTGAATGATTTTTAGGAATTTTTTAGTAAGAATGCTCAAAAGAGACTCTGGCATCTACATATCGGATCAGAAAAAATAACACCTGCCCAATTATGTAGCTACTATTAGACAAGAAAAAGCTGTAAAGAAGTTGTTCTGTCCTATTGGATGCTTAAAATGCCCTTGTCTATTTACATAATCACTCAGCGGACCAGAAAGGTTCTTGTTTACCACAGTGCCAAGGGAAAACAGGACACTGTTGTTTGGGGTCTCTGAAGGGGGGATGGACTGAAAACCTTCTATTCCATCTAACAGGCTAACGACCTTTCTGACGAAAGCTGCGGTTGTGTTGTAGACTATAAGATCAATCTGACTTTCACTATTTTAAAATAACACACCAGAAAAAATGCTGAACCACAATGAATCCATAATAATTTGTCTAATTAAGTCTTTCTTAAGTATATGATGACAGGATGTTACAACTCCTAGGGAAACGTGACATCAGGTGACAATTTTGTGTACAGAGTAGGCAACGCCTGCTCGATGTGATGCAGTAAAACAATCAATCCAACATCACTCATGCCAGCTCTGTTATGGACTGCAGCATCAATAGAGTACGAGATAAACAGCTGTCCAGCAAACCGTAAAACACTCAACTAAAATGGCTTCACAAAAGCAATTATCCAGATTATGGGCACATACTAAATCTAAGGAATTCATGCTTACTGTAGATACAACACACTAACATGAGTGTTAATAAAGAAGGAAAAAAAGGAATGCAATTGGAAATCCTTTCACAGGATGAGATTACACAGCAAGTGTCATAAAGCAAACTGGTTCAGACTGAGGTCTGTTCTAACAGCAGTTAGCAAGCACCTAATTCTTTGTAAACACCAAGGAGTGAATGAGGGTTCAAGGCCAGCCTGGTCTGTCTCAAACGGGGATGGTACCTTTGGAAATCAGGAATTTGCCAGAGAGTTGCTGAGCCGATGCCAGCTGCGTTCCTCGGTGCTAGCCAGCTGAAGTGGGGGGGCAACAGGGATCTGAGTACAGAGGCGCATTCCATCCATTTTGTTCCACGAATTCGACCAGAATTCTCACAGCTAATGATATAGAAGTACAAAAACTCTGGCACCACAGCAAGTTTTAAATTATGATGGCTGGAGAAAAGGGGGGAGGGAATCATGAGCTGGATGTCCTTTAAATTTTTGCATATTGCAGACAGAAGACAATGGCACATCAAGGCCCTAATGAAAAAGACTCTTGTTGTAAATAAAAACTTATCCTAATTTATTAATATTATAGATGAAGGAAATCGCTGAATTTGCCAAAGCGGTGTTACAGGCTCACTGGCACGCCAACGAACAGGAACTCGGTTTCCTGTCTCTTAGCTACAAAACCATCTGCACGTTAGTGCCTCAATGCCACCCAAAAGAGAGAATTGAGACCGTCACGAGACACCCATTTGATCTCAGCAAGACCTTCCACGGTGAGGGAAGGCACCACATGAGGCAACTGCAACTTGGCAAACATGACGTCAGTACCACCTCTCCTAACACAACGGTTCAGACAGAGCCTAAAGCTAAAGTGCCTAATGCCTTCTGATGAAGGGTATTACTTGGTAAGCCAGCGCTTTTTTGATAGGGGCTTGAGAGATTAAGGGAGAATTTAAGATACTGTAATGAAACAGATATTTCTGTATGCTACAAAGACATAAACTGCCGTCTTGCTTAGCTGTTTTTATTAGTTTCTAAGTGTTTGAAGGCTAAAAAAAAAGACTTTATTTTTTTTAAGGTGCCAGCATAGAACATCACAACTTTAGTGATAATAAGACATCAGGTGGAAAGGTTTCAAAGATTTTTATGATTATAATTATGCCCAGAGGTATGCTAGATCAAAAGAGATGTTCCTAGCTCCAACACAGCTTGCAAACCAAATAAAGAACAATACAAGTCAACAAGTGATAGAGAAATGGCAGAAAAACAACAAATGTTGCAATAATAAGGTTACACGGACAGTCTAGAAATGGTCAGAAAAGTTTTAACTTCCTTTTTCTTAGAAAACTAAAATACACTTTCAAATTCAGGCAACAAATTTCTTGGAATTTGCTATTAACATCTCAACTGTATTTTTAAAATGCA